ATATATATGTATATATATTTATATATATATATATATATATATATAAATATATATATATATATATATATGTATATATATATATATATATATATATATATATATATATATATATATATATATATATATATATATATATATATATATATATATATATATATATATATATATATATATATATATATATATATATATATATATATATATATATATATATATATATATATATATATATATATATATATATATATATATATATATATATATATATATATATATATATATATATATATATATATATATATATATATATATATATATATATATATATATATATATATATATATATATATATATATATATATATATATATATATATATATATATATATATATATATATATATATATATATATATATATATATATATATATATATATATAATAGGGCTGCACAATATATTGTTTCAGCATCAATATCACAATGTGCGAATCTTCAAGTCACATCGCAGGATCAACAATGTCATGTTGGGATTCATATTGCATTAATTTTCATATGGATGCGTTTTTAAGGTGAATGTGATTTTAAACCAAGTTTACAAATTCAATATAAATTGTTTAATTCTTTATACAGTGAAGATTGTGTGGTTTTGTTTTACATTTGATTATACATTTGATTATATCGTTTGGGGTTATTTTAATACTTGTGCTAAATATATACTTTTAAAATGTTCCAGTGCCCAAACGGTGCCTGAATTAATACTTTTAAGCCACAAAATTATGCTGGACGACTCTAGAAAAATCTAGAAGAGTGTTGTCTTAATGAAACTGATCTCAAAAGCCGAATCATTTCTTTACGCCTCATTCACACGGGGCGTCAGCGTCAATGCTTCCCATTCACTTTGATTTGTGGATCCATTGCATTGTGGATCCGTCGGCGCCGCTTCAGAGGCGTTGCTCGCTGCAGAAGTTGGAACTAGCTCAACTTTTCAAGCGCCGACAGAAGCGTCAGCCAATCAGATCGCTGTATGCAAATATACCAGCTAAACAGTGGCCTATTGCGCCCCCTAACTTTTTTTTGAGCATAGTGATTGAATATTTAATCGCGGACAGGAGTCTCCACATCTCAGCTCGTAGATTTACAGGCACACAGAGTCAATTTGGGAGATATAAAATGCACATAAATTATTTAAACGCAAAACCGAGAAAACCGCAAGTCACAAGCGCGTATTGAACCATGGAGGTCGTACCGAACGGTTCAATATTATATTGAGAACCGTGGCATCCCTAATGTGTATATATATATATATATATATATATATATATATATATATACACACGACTTATGTAGCATAAACATATTTTAAAAAAGATGACAGTATTCACGTTTTTATAAAGTCAGTGTCATGATATATAGGGTTAGAAATGAAAATTTACAAATGTAAAATGCTTGATTCCCAAAAGTCTTAAGATAGGTCCCCATGTGGTTTCAGTTTTTTTTTTTTTTTTTTTTTTTTTTGTATTTCAAGAAAGTTAAAATGTTCAAATAATCGAGAATTTAATTTTAGGCCAAATCGCCCAGCCCTACTACACATGCAATATTGGATTTAGATCTATCCCATCTTGTCGATCCAGCAAAAATGGGGTATGAAAGCCGATATCTGATCTGAATATCAAATCTGCTGTTTGTTTGTCGCACCCCTGAAGAGACATCTTTAGAGAAACTTGTTCTACATGCAAGTTTTTGTTTGTTTGTATTGAGCAAGCAAAAATGTCCACCAATGCGCAAACCTTCCATTGAAAAGATGATCATTTGACAGACGTTTCTCAATCGGATCTGCAGAAGGGCTTAACTAAACATTGGTTTTACACCAGCAAATGAGGTGTCGCTTCCCAGCTGTGGGGAACATGAAACACCGACCAATTTAAAGTGCATCTCACGGAAAGCGTCAGGGAGACAGATGATCTCTGTGCTTTGGGCTGGAGCGGGACTCTGAGGTGTTGTGTGTCTGCCCAACGTGTGCGTTTCGCATCTGTTGTGTTCGCTCGCTGGAGACACTATTAACTTTCTTCTCCATTTTTCACGCTGGATTACGTGTGCCTTTGTGTCTCATATAAAGAAGCCTCTCAGTTTAAAGCTCCTCTTAGGATACAGAGCATTCAGAAGGAAATGGCAAGCGGCAGTAGTTAACAGAGTGGCAAATTTATCACCTTTATATAATGTCAACACAACACATAATTTACGTCAACACAAAAAGTAGCTAAAACGTAAGCAGAATTTGCTGTTTGGAGTGGGTTTGATGACTTTGCTTAATCTTTTAAGTTGTGTTGACAGGGTATTTCTATACATCAGGTAAAGTTTGGAATTGATAAAGTAAACCTAGAAAATGTAGGGTTGCACAACATATTATTTCAGCATTGAACTCGCAATGTGATCATTCGCAATAGTCACATCGCAGGATCTGAAATGTTCATTCATTCACTTTCTTTTCGGCTTATTCCTTTAATCAATCTGGGGTCGCCATAACCAAAAACCATAATCAAATCATAAATAAATAAAGATAAGTTACACATAAAGCACCACCTGTCAATCACTTTTTCCGCTGGAGTCTGGCATGAATAGGCAGAGTGATCTGTGTTGTTATGATGGCGTCGTCAAACTGAGGCCCCGTTTACACTAGTCCTCATGCACTCTGGTGGTGGATGAGGAGATTCATTATATAAATGTAAGGAATTATTATTATTATTATTATTATTATTGACATTATTAACATTATTATTATTATTAACATTATTATCAATATTATTATTAATAACATTATTATTATTATTATTGACATTAACATTATTATTAACATTATTATTAATAATGATAATATTATTATTATTATTATTATTGACATTATTAACATTATAATAATAATTATTATTATTAACATTATTATTAATATTATTATTAATATTATTATTATTAACATTATTATTAACATTATTATTATTATTATTAACATTATTATTATTAACATTATTATTAATATTATTATTATTATTGTTATTATTATTATTATTATTATTGACATTATTAACATTATTATTATTATTAACATTATTATCAATATTATTAATATTATTATTAATATTATTATTATTAACATTATTATTAACATTATTATTATTATTATTAACATTATTATTATTAACATTATTATTAATATTATTATTATTATTATTATTATTATTATTATTGGCATTAACATTATTATTATTATTAACATTATTATTAATATTATTATTATTATTGACGTTAACATTATTATTATTATTGACATTATTATTATTATTATTATTATTGACATTATTAACAGTATATTTATTATTATTATTATTAACATTATTATTAACATTATTATTATTATTATTATTGACATTATTTACATCATAATTATTATTATTATCATTATTAACATTAT